GCGCCCCCTTGCGGAAAAAAGAGCCAGACTGAATGCTAACGCCTACATAAAGTAATACAAGTCGAAACTTAGACCGGTATTAAAGAACATTACATTTTATTTTATTTACTTGTGGCAGTGGTCTTGTAATTTAATAAAATGGTCGTGTAATTTAATAAAGCTTAGCTTGTATTAGCATTATGTTTAGCCTCTGAGAACGTTGAGGGTCTTGAATGAAGCCCTGTCGCGTAAACGATGGTGCATTTACGTTGACTCAGAAATTTCGGAATTTGTAGTTGAACGGGCTAAAAACGTGGGTACAAATCTAAAACGTTCGCTAAACTTTGAAACCAAAATCATTCAAAACTATAGCAAAAACGTCATACTCGTGTTACACTGTGTATTTTCTATGTAGCTTATTTAAACGGTGGCAGACGCTAGTAGAGATTTGATGCAGCATGAACAATCCAAACGGTAGGGGAGTACCCGAAGGCTACGTCAAAGTTGGACTTTTAAGACGGTGCAACGGCTCTGGTGAGGTGCAGTGTTTTTGTCAATAAACAGGCTGTTCGGCCTTTAAAAATATATAGACACAAAATTATTTGCACCAAAACTGTAAAAGCCAGCTATGTACTGTCGTCAGATTTTGCGGACACCATTGTTCGGGACAAGAGCGGCTAAGCTCAGCCGTTTCCCCCATGTTTGTCGAAGCGAGGTATCTGCTATCAAAATAAACCGTCCTGTTGTCATTCTTGTCAGCATATTCCTTTCGTTAGCTGCTGCACAGCATGTTGACAATACCTGTCCTACTGGTGGTGGCTGTGGTGAACCTGCAGTGCCCCACCACCACCAAGAGGTTTGGTTTCATTGCGACACGTACTTAAAGCAGCTTTTTGATTTTCCCATGTGTGATGCATGCCTGTCGTTCACCCCCAGAGACCCCTGTGCACCAAAAGTGACGAGGTGAGACTGGCAGAGGAGGCCAGCAAGAAGTACGGCTCCCCAGCTCCAACCATCTTCTCCAAAGTGATCGACAAAAGCATCCCTGCAGATATCATTTATGAGGATGAAAAGGTAAGCACAGTCTGAGCTCATAAATAAACATTTTGTGGTTACATTTCTGCAGTTCAGTCCTTCATATATACGATTTTTTTCCCTGTGTTTATCAGTGTTTGGCATTCAGGGATATCAGTCCACAGGCGCCTGTTCACTTCCTGGTTATTCCAAGGATTCCTATTCCCAGAATAAGTGAGGCCAAAGATGATGATGCTGAGGTAAACTGGTGTTTTCTTGTCTAGACTCTCAGATCATGTCACAAGCAGTGAGATTGTGCAGCACATGCTCCCTTTTTATAAGTCTGTTTTTACTATTTGACATGTCTGTGAGATTAATTTCTAGCGCATTTAGGAACCAGCTCACCCCAAACTGTTGTCACAGCACTGGAAGAAATCTATAGGTGAAGCACTAAAGGCGCTACCTTTCCCTCATTTGAAACCAGTACTACCCAGAGTGTAGCCTTAAACCAGGGTCTTGGACCAAAGAGCAGGTTAAATATGCCCAGATGTTCTTTTGTTTTCTGGCTTTCCTAATGTAACAACCAGTATGAGTGTTTTTGCATTGAATGAGCAGTGTTGACATCAAATAACCAGCAACAAATGTGGGCTGGTCTGCAGCCTCATATTTCCCACAAGGGAAGCAACCTATAATCCTAAATAGATATCAGGTAAATAAAATGATATAGCAGGGAAGTTGTAAAGGAGTCGAGCCGTCCAGATTAAAATTCAAACACAGATTAGATAGATATACAGACAGATATTACTGTTGTTATCTAGATTCCCTTGTTTAACAGTCTAAGAATAAAGAAGAAATCTAAAAACAGAAGGCGTATACTACTTTTAAATCAGATTTTAAAAAAAAAATCAACAAGCACAAATATGTGTTCTGTTTTAGGATTTGATAGTAACACTTATAGACCAATAACATTGTTGTAAAATTGGAAAAAGAAAACAAATCAACAAATAGTTTCTTGTATGAATCTGTTGTTATTATTGGTGCTCATTACCAAAAGAGAAAGACTTCAGACGATATTTAAAAAAACTTTAAAACCTCCTCCTGTACGTGCACAGACGTCTGAGGAATCCTTCACGAAAGGTGACGCTATTTCCTGGAGATCTGAGTGGTCAGTAGGCGTTGATTTCATACCTGATGATTACTGATCTGGAACGTAACTTGCTCTAGTCCAGGTTAGTATCACAGCAAGGTACCATGTTAGAAGTAGTTCAGAAATCCCAGGATCAGTCCCGAAGTTAGCTGCATGAGCCTGCTGTAGGTCTCACATCCAGTTTGGTCTCCTCTGTGACCGGACACACTAAATATTAATCTTTAAGAAGTCATAACTGCTTCATTTACAGCTCACTGTCGACTGTAAATAATCTCTTCAGCTCTCCTTTTCTCCACTTTCAGCTCTTAGGACATTTATTGGTTGTTGCCAAAAATGTGGCAAAGCAAGAATCTCTGACTGAAGGGTACAGAGTGGGTAAGTTAGACCATTTTACCGTAATGATTCTCCAGGCATTAATGTGACTATACAGACTGTTTGTTTACATCCACACTGAATTCCCAGTGATCAACGACGGGAAGCACGGTGCTCAGTCCGTCTACCACCTTCACATCCACGTCCTGGGAGGAAGACAGATGAAATGGCCACCAGGATAAGGGCTTCACATTTACTGTGGTGTCTCAGTTTAATCCAATAATAATGGCATAATACCTGTTTATACACAAAGCTGATGTCAATGTAAATATGTTGGAAAAAAAATGTGTGAAAAGGAAAAGTCAGAAGTTGATGTTTGATATAGCTGCAAATAAAGACACATTCTGTTATGGAACAATAAAGCTCAAGTCAGTTCTTTAATCTCTAATCAAGTCAGGATACTGTTACCATGGTAGCAGCTCACATTTAAGAGCAAAGATTCAAAACAACGAGGTCAGATATGTGCGAGTAATCCCTCTCAGAGGAAAAGTTCATGCTTCACTCTGCCCAGAAACACTCAGCTTCAGGCAGTTTATTCCTTCACCCACCTGCTCTTCAAACCTTCTCAAGAGCTCATTTCAGACAGCAAATGAACTGAGGAGCTACGCCCAAGCCCAGGATAAGATTAATTATATAATGTTATACTGATGCTTTAACAGCAATGAAGTGTTTGAGGTTGCCATGCTGTGGAAAATCCTCCTCCTCCTGCAACCCCCCACAGGATAGTGTAACCTCGGGAACGGAGCTGCAAATATATATGTGTGATATAAGCATATATTAACTAATAAACCTAGACAGTAAATACAAGTGACCTGCCCAGACTGTACTCAACACCTTTTAAACTTGTATTTGTTTTCTTTTAAAACACTTGAGTTATTTTTGTATTTGCTTTCTTATGTGTGGGCCCTTTGATTTGACACCCTGTAGGGGTTAAATGTTTTGCTCCTAGAACGAACTTGCTGTATTGCTGTAAACCACTAATAAGTAGTAAGCTTTCCGTAGTTGTTAATAAGGAAGAAACCTTTAAAACTGCAAAAAGTTTGATGTTTTAAGTATTTTTGTTTCACACTTTGCACTGAACACAAGTCAGCATTGTTCGTCCACTGGAGACGTTTCATAATAGAGAAATGTATATGGTCTATTATGTAATAACCATTACTATCTCTGTGGAGCCTTATCACAAATTGGACCCTGTTTAAAGGGAGGCAGTCTGCAGCTCATTTTTGTGTGTATTTTAGTGTCCGTCTGGTCGGTATGGCTGCTGGCACTGATGAAGCCCCCGATTAATGGTTCAAACACATGGCTTGTGCCCAGACTACCACTGTGAGTCACAGTTGGAGTGGCTATGGTGTGACTAGGTGGTATGATTCAGTGACCTTAGTTCCTGTGAGCAAGGTAACCGTGTGTCAAAAGCATAACCTTTCCCCTATATTTGCTTAGAAAACAGTGTTCCCTGCCTTTAATGGCGCAGGGAGGATAGAAGATGGTTAAAAGAGGACTCTGTTAATGATTAAATATTTCTTTTCCATTATCGTTTCTTATTGATTTCTTTTTATATCTCAGAAAAGAACTAAAGAGATTTTTTTTAAAGGAATGCATCCTTTTTTATTGCTGACATCTCCTTTTTCTTGATGTACCAATAAAGTCAGGTGGGCAAAGATTTGCACAAGTTGTCCTTATGCTGAAAACTTTGTTGTTGTTGTTTTTTGCTAGGTCAAAGTATCGCCTCATAAACCCAGAGAGATATCATCTAGTTTTATAATTTATTTCTATGACCGGCCTCATCCTTCATGTGATAATAACCGCCATCACAAGTTTAACTGAGACAATAAACACTTTAATAATACCCCCACCCATCAAAGCTTTGTTATCTTATTGGATGCTTGACACATAATCCTGCAACTGAATATAACCAGTGCCTATAGCTGTTAGAAACTCCAAACAAAGCTACAAGCAGATCTGAAACCCACTGGATTAAACTCACTTCTTTTTAGTGCAAATCCAAACTTTTTTTCAGCCAGTTCTCCTTGTACAGCTCTATCTGGTTGACACAACCTCTGCAGGAGGTGTTGAAAGCTACAAGGATTGTGCAAGTCTCGTGAGACCAAGGAACACGTCAATCTTATCAAAATCCCCTGTGCGTTGATATTTACCCCAGGGGGCAACATCTGTGAACCTGCATTGAGCAAAGGTTGATGCAATTTTGTCTCACACCTGACTGCAGCCTTGACGTTGATGCCACTTGGGTCTGTCAGCAGAGAAGGTAGGATATCATTTCTACAGCAGACATTTCTGTCTTTTGAACGTGTTAAGTGAGAAAAGAATAAACTGCTATTTAGACTGCAGGATGTGCATAAAGATTTATTTTTACTCATAGAAATTCAGACTTGTTTGTACTGTTTTTTCTATTTTTCCTCACTGAGTATGTACACTTCAGGTTAAACACGGCTCTGGAGATGCATAGTGAATGTGTTAAACATATGACTGAAACGTAGGAATAGATGTGAGCAGGCACATCCACAGAGAGTTAACATCTCTCACTGCTGCTGTTTTTTATATTTTCCAATGCATTTTCAATAGTTAAGGTGTTTTTCTGTGTAATGTAAGAACTAAGAAGTCACCAGTGAGGCTAAAATGAATTTGTTTGCATCACAGGACAGTTTATAAAGTTTTTACATAATCTGGAGCAAAGGTTTTTCCTCTGCTACTTAATGTTGCCAAACTGCAGTTTTGTAAGTTTATGAACTTTGGTCCAGAGAAATCTTGTCACGGGCAATCTTGAAATTTTGAGGTTGGACTGAGATCCTGCTTATCTTGACAGATTTCAATCTTTAACACAAAGTCAGCATTTGTTAGAAATCTGGTGCAACATTGATTATCAGATTTATTGTTGTTACATCCCTGCACAAAGACTGATTGTTTTTATTGGTGCAGTTAATTGAACTTGGAGGAAAATATCTGCAGAAAACTTTTCAATTGTTTCTGCTGTTGCTAAATATTCACATTAGAGGGCATTCATTCACTGTGTAGAGCACAGGCCAAGGAAGAGTTATTTTAAGTCTGACATGATTGTTATTCAGTATGTTAACTGGTAATGGCAGCACTTTCACGATTATCTGGGTGAAAGGTGCTGCTTGGAGGCAAAGTAAGTCTACGTGGATTTAGCAATGCTTCTTGCCGCAATACTAGTAGTTTCAACATGCACTGCTGCTGCGTGTGTGATTGGCAGCACATGCGGTCACTGGCTGTGACCTGTTGCACTGACTTTGGTGAATGTCAGTCACATATAAATGAGTGGAGTGATGCTGTTTCATAATCTTAACTGCTTGGAGAGTCCTCGGTGGAGGGTTTCTGGAGGGTTTTCATGCTAATTTCATCTTCTCTGTTTCTAGCAGACATAAGCTCAAAGAAAATTAATTTATGAAGAGCAATAGCCCTGCAGTTATGGATGGTAACATGGAAAGGTATGTAAAGAGAGATGAGTCCCTGGGCAGGTCAAATAGATAATATAGGACCACTTCTTTTCAAACTATCTAAAAATTAGATTTTACGATTATCATCAGTTCTCATTCGTGTCATCTCAATGTCTGCTCCAGCATTCCTGCTCAAACTGAGTCAGATGCCACAGATATAAAGACCCACACATCTGTCATACTCAATGGGAAAGCCAAGACGGGCGACTTCAGTGCAACACTGCCTCCAAAGATCCATCCACCCAGTAACACTGAGTTACTGACCCAGCCTCCCATGTCGTCTGAGCAGAAGGGAGCTACTGAAGGATTTTCCACAGGTAAGGGTGAAATGGCGATGGTAACGGTATGAGAAAATGCCTCCAAACTAAAAGAAAATTGTCTGTCCTTGGGTGTAAACCACAAAGATTTCACATAAGAAGCTAGAGTGAAAGACACCCACTTCTTTTCAACAAATTCTGTTTATTATCTTGTTTTAGGTTGATTTAAATAATTATTTTCAATAAGAAGACTGAATACGTAAAAGCATTTGCAAACTGTAAAAAAGCTAATGAATAAACTTTGTCACTTTAAATGTCAAAACACAAAGGCATTTAAGGCTAGATATAACCTACTCTGTGGGGAAACAAGAAAATAAATATCATTTTAGATATTTTCAGACATAAAATGACTGCAAGCTGGAAGGAAAAGAAATTTTCGGGAAATATGAAAACAAAAAAGACAATAACACTTAAAAGAAATCACTCCTCTCATAAAGACAGATGGCTGCAAGGCTTTAAAATTTCTTAGGAATGCTGAAGCATACAGGATTACTGGGGCATCAAGTGCTAAAGATCGTCTTGAACACGCCTTTTAAAACCACGTGAAACACTCGAGAATTTTTACTGGATGGCAGAATTTAGTATGTTGTCTGTGTGCTCATTCAGTCCTGTAACTAAAATTACATGACTTCTTCTGGCTGAACCTGTTTGTTAGGGACGCATTTGTAATGTGGAACTTCCTGTTTCAGCTCAGATAACAGCAGAGCCTTCACTGCACACTGCACATTAAAGTAACTCACCTAGGGTAACAGCACAGAGATATCTGCAGTCCTGTGATACACCTGACTAGCTGTGTCTTTTGACTTGTGATTCATGGAGAGTATATGCAGCTGCCCTTGTTCTTGCAATACAGAAGAGCCCAAGGCAGTTCCCCTGTCGACGGCCCATTTGGCAACAAATCTAGCCCCTGCTGACCAGTTATGGAGCACCGGCAGAGAGCAGGCAGTGAGGCTGAGAATGGAGGAATCAGGGCCAGGCTCAAAGGCTCCCATCACCGTCCATCAGATGTTCCTGGAGACAGTCGAGAAGTATGGGAATCATCCAGCTTTGGTTTCCAAAAAAGATGGCCAGTGGATGACTCTAACCTGGAACCAATACTACGAGCAGTGTCGTGCAGCTGCGAAAAGTTTTCTCAAGGTTTGTTTGCTTGTTTTGCAAATCGTCCTGCATCTGTTGAACAAAAATTACACTTCAGTGAACTTCAAATATAATGCAAAGAAGCTATTTGGCAGTCGTAGATCTTTAGAATGTTATTAATTTGCCTTAAACATTATTTCATAGAGTAAAGTTGGATTTTAAGAATTGTGAAATAATTAAATAATTTAAGCATTTATTTAGCATACAGTGCAGTCATTCATTTTAACATATGCTGTTGTCATTCATTCACAAAGTTAGTTGTAAACCAAGTTGCCAGAGTTGTCATTTTTAACCAAGAGATCAGCAGATGCTGGGGATCACTCCCAGGTACTCTCCCTTAGACCTTTCCTGCACCCATTCTTGCTCTTTGGCCTTAAAAGGTCTTTGTTGCCTCCTGCATTAACCTCAAACCCAGGCGCTTAGAGGATTTGACACTTGTGCTCCTTTAAAGCGCAAACTTAGAACTTTTAAGTCATCAAATGCTCTGAATTAGAAACAAAGTAACCAAATGATTGTTAGAATTCTGATTTAAACAAACATCGACTCGGTTTTTGTTTTGTTTTTTGGTTGTTTTTAATTAGAAAGCTGTGTTTATGTAACTGAACAATACTTTTTGAACTGAAGGCTGCATAAATCATTTAACTCCTGGCCCAGTTTTTATAAACAGCACTTCTTATCTTAATCTTCTTGATGTGAGAACAGCATGCTGGAACCTTGGGTGTGTGAAATGCCCAGCTTGTGTTACGTTTTATGTTTCACAGCCATATCTGTGTCCCGTGTGAGTGGAGTGGCTAATGAAACAAGACGCAGAAGTAACGAAGGTATACGCCTGCTGCGCTGTGTAATTAAAGTCACTTCTTCTTTAAAAGCATCTACCTGTCCTTTGTTTTTATCAGTTGGGGCTGGAGCGTTACCATGGTGTAGGGATTCTGGGATTCAACTCCGCTGAGTGGTTCATCTCAGACATCGGCTGCATCTTGGCCGGGTAAGATCACTCTATAAGGAACTGAATCTGATAACATTTTAAATTAGTCTACTTTTGGACCTGTTTTACCTCTACACTGTCTGACATGCACATTTATCTTTGTCCTTTCTTATCTCAGAACCTCTGTTTGTGTCTCCACCCACATGAGGCTCAGTTAAAATTACATGGATGTGATATTTGGCATTTTTTCAAGCTGTCAGGAAGTACTAAGGGACATGCAACTTGTGCAGTTCGGACACCGCCACAAACTGCACAAGTGCACAAATAGAATTCCTCCAATGAATTCTATTTGTGTCCCATAGTCTAAAGACATGGAACAGGGTTAGGTTAATTTTTGATTCTAAAATCAGTGTGATTGTGAAAGGCCGTCTGCCTCTCGCCCTGTGCCAGCTGGGATAGGCGTAATCACCCCTCACTTTATTTAGTTTTTCTTGCTTAATTAATCTACAGTTTAAAAAAATACTCATTTCTGTTCACCAAACAAAATATCTAATTATTTTCCACTTCACATCAAGCTGTAGCCAAACTGGTAACACATGACAGTGACTCATACAAGGTAATATATAGCTCAAGCAATTGTTTGTCCCTTAGAGGGCTGGCAGCCGGGATTTACACCACAAACTCACCAGAGGCCTGTCAGTATGTGGCTGCCAACTGTGAGGCCAATGTCCTGGTTGTGGAGAACCAGAAACAGCTCGACAAAATCCTGCAGGTCGGCAGTTTCATCTTAATTCACCGCCATCTCTTTATGAAGTAATACATGTATTACTTGTGAGTGAGGTTCTGTCCTCACATGTTATCTTTGTATCTTTTAACAGGTTAAAGATCATCTACCTCATCTGAGAGCCATTGTTCAGTACAAAGGCGAGCTACAGCAGAAAGCTCCGTTCCTGTATACAGTACGTCTACATAGCAAACATTTATTTACTTATCATTGATGCACTGTTTTGATTCAACCTCCTTATTTCTGTAGTGGGAAGAGTTCATGAAGCTGGGAGAGGATGTGCCCGATGAGCAGCTGAATGCTGTGATTGACAGTCTTCGGCCCAATGAGTGCTGCACCCTCATCTACACCTCTGGAACCACTGGCAACCCTAAAGGAGTCATGTTGAGCCATGACAATGTGAGTAGCCCTGACAAGAGATTTCTCTCTCTCTTCTTCTAAAAGGTATTGGCTTTTAAGATTTAAGATTGAACTGAAAAGTCTTTGAATACTGTTAATTTTATTAAGTAGCCATCAAATTGTTAAGGCTCAGATTGCAGCTTTTTTCTGTCTTGTTCTAAATCACGTGTCAAAGTCAAGGCCCGCGGGCCACATCCGGCCCGCGGGCCACATCCGGCCCGGCGTACATTTATATCTGGCCCGCGAGATCATTTTATATAGCTGTATTATTATTGTTATGCATTAGTGATGTGTCGGTTGCAAATGAAATGGCTCTTAGAGCCGGATCCTTGACGTGAATGACGTGAGCCGGCTCCTTATCGCGAGCCATGGGTTGTTTTTTTTTTCTTTCTCTCACCCTCTCTCTCTCTCTCTCGCACTTATTTCCTCTTCACTCTGCATGCGAGCCTTGTGCTTTGCGCTGGGCAGAGGTGGGAGGGGCGGTAGTTACACTGGCATTGCTGGTAAACCCGTGTGTCTTATTAGTGGAGCTAATGTGGCTGTAATTAAGGAATTTTATTTAAGACGGCACTACGAGACAAAACGTCAGGATAAGCTGAAAAGTACAGACATGTATAGACAAGAAAAGTATAGACATGATGGACATTGCACAGCTGGCCATCTTCATCCGTGGAGAGGAAATATTGAACATTAAATCGCACGGAACAATGACAGGAAAAGACTTTTTTTAAAACGTATGTCAAAGTGTAACCGACATGAAACTGCCCTGGGACAAACTTGTTGGACCTACAACAGATGGAGCGCCGGTGTTGTGCGGTGAAAAAAGTGGACTAGTCAGCAGGATGCGAGTAAAGATGCAGGGGGAGAACTGCATATCACTGCATCATACAGCAGGAAAGGCTGTGTGGTAAAGTCCTAAAAATGGAGCATGTAATGATCACCGTAACGCAAACCGTACATTTTATCGGAGCTAAAAGTTTAAAGCACCGTCAATTTCAGTCTTTTATGTAGGAAATAGATTCAGAGTTTGCCGACATTCCTCATCATACAGAGGTCCGTTGGCTGAGTTGGGATAAAAATTCTCAATAGAGTTTTTGAGCTCAGCAAGGAAATCTGTCAGTTCATGGACATGGCATGTATGATGCGGTGAAGACATTTCAAGTGAAGTTGTCACAAATGCACCAGTGCAACCTGCCTCACTTTCCCTGTTGCCAATTAATGTTGAACCAAATCAGCGGACTTTGCTGAACTGCACATGTGCAGATTCAGATGGAGCTGCAGTGTAATGATAGACTCAAGGGAAAGTACGACACTGAATGGCCCGCACAGTTTATTAGTTCCATTCCTGAAGCAATGCCCAGCTCCGTCTACATGCGGCTCCAACCTTGTATATGCTTTCATTTATTTTTTCTGGGGGTTTTGGCAGCATGTTCATATTTCTAACTTGCATAATTTTGACAGGATATATTTTTATGAAGAGCAAAATATTTAAAGTTAAAGTTTATTTTTTTAAGTTTATTTAATCTGGAATATTATTCCTGTCTTTTTTTTATTCATATTTATGTTTAAAAAACATAAACAGTGTGTTCAATAAATATTTATCTTGTTTGGCCCGCGACCTAAAGTGTGCCTTGAGTTTGACACTCCTGTTCTAAATGATCAAATGTCAGAAAAACCACAAATTTCACGTAGAAGCGTTTACCTCTTCCAAGGAGATTAGCCAAAATAACTGGCTTAGTTTCGCTTGTTAGCACAATTCATTCAATTCATGGATGGATTTACATAAACATTTTGCCTGAAGTCGAGCCTGATTCAAGTTAGAAGTGAACAACTTTCCGAAATCTGGATCTGGTAAATTTTGAAAGATTTATTTTTTATCATTGCATGAGAGAGCAAAATGTTACACTTCACATAACATATGAAAACATACCAAACTGAAATAATAAAAACTTAGATAGAGAGATAGTCTTGTACCAATTTACTGCTTTTTAAGTATTTGAGCTCTATTTTTTATGTTTCATTTGCATCAGGAATAGTTCATTATGAAGCTCCAGTTTTCACTTCATTAGTTTAGTTCTAGCACCTTTAATAAACATGAATAAAATTGAATTTGCACAACAAGCTGAATTACTGCAGCATATCTTATGCAGGCTGTAGGATGTAAGGACAAGCTTTTAATTCTTCAAAGAGTTAAACCATAGCACTAGTGGTTCAACCAGAGAGCTTTTATATAATCTGGCGAGTTCTTCTACTGTAATTTCATGATGTTGTTTCGATCAATGTGTGAGAGGAGTACTCTAAAGATTCAAGACAAATATTTGGCGAAAGAAAATACCTGGTGACTTTTTCCCCACTTTTAAATGTGCAGATAACATGGACTGCCCATGTGGGATGTACCATATTAAAAGCAAAAGGCGGTGAGGAGATCCTGGTCAGTTACCTGCCGCTCAGCCACGTCGCAGCCCAGATGATTGATATTTGGGTCTGCATGGGCTTTGCTGGGACCATCTACTTTGCAGAGCCAGATGCCCTTAAAGTAAGCATGACTATTACCTCATGAAAAAGGAAACATTAACTAAATATATTTGACTGTAATGACCATTAATTTTTCCAGGGCTCTTTAGTAAACACACTTAAAGAGGTTCGCCCAACTTGTTTCCTGGGAGTTCCTCGTGTGTGGGAGAAGATCGAGGAGAAGATGAAAGCTGTGGGAGCCAAAGCATCCCCAATGAAGAAGAGAGTGGCAGGCTTTGCCAAGTCCATTGGCCTGCAGTACAACTACAGTGTCATGAACGGGTGAGACAGCAGCAGGGATGTTAGACGAACACGTCACATGTTTGTACAGTTTAACATCCCCAGGCCATCACTTTATAACATTCATAATGCATAGAAAGATTTATTTGTGCAGTTGTGAGTGATGGTAATGTCATCGGTTCTTCACGTATTTGTTTATCTCATAGTGTTGAGAACTGTAGTAAATTTGCCTTTCTCAAAGCAGTTTTGAAGTAACTCGGACAAGCCCCCAAACACTGTGAGCGGACTATTTACAGAATAATTTTAGAAACAAGAAAAACATTAAGAAACTTGCACAGTGTACAAGAGGACAGAATAAATAAATTATAAAATTACAAAGTAAAGCAAGAAACATGATGAGAAGAGGAAAGTCTCAAACCAGGCCTGCAGGATAACCCAGCAGGGTGAGGCCAATCAGGTCTGCACAACATAAAAGAAGGTGCCTTAGGCTGAAGCTGGTCAGTTCTCAAATTATTTTGATTTTCTTTGTGTTGGTTAAACAAATAAAAGGAGAAAGAGAGTGAAAAAAAAATCATGCAAGGCTCTGGCCAGGCATTTTGCACTACGGCCAGTGATGCTCAGCTTTACCTAGAAAAACCTTATTTAAAATCATATTTAAAGTTTCGTTAAGTTCATTATTCCTAAACAAAAAAGATCCTCAATAATTTTGATAAAATATTGGTTTATTTTGTGTGTTACAGACAGAATCAGGTGCCGTGGGGCTTCATGCTGGCTAATAATCTGGTCTTCAAGAAGGTGCGTGCTGCTTTGGGCTTGGACCGCTGCAGAATATGCTGCACTGGAGCTGCACCGATTACCAAAGACACTTTGGATTACTTCATGAGCCTGAACATCCCTTTGAAAGAGCTGTATGGCATGAGTGAAAGCTCTGGCCCTCACACCATCTCCATCGATGAATACCGCGTCACAAGGTAGATATTGACGTGACTGAAGTGTTGGATTGTGGTTAAAGCAGGGGTCAAAAAATATTGTGTTGAAGGTGATAGATGGTTGTTTTTCATCAAGCATACCTGATAGATTATAGCCAACGTAATAACTGTAAACAAAAACCTGACAGCATCTAATAAGGAAATAGACTTCTTAGCAGTGGCCTATTTATTTTAATCACAGCAACAAAACTTCTTTGAATCAACACTTCAGTCCATCTGAAGTCCTAGATTCACTGTTTCCAGCTCTGAATTTGTTTTTACTGCCTTCTGAGGGGGAAAAAAACTTAACTTTGTCTGCTCCTTGGTGCTGAACAGTGGGTTTATTGGAGTTTGTTTTTGTGCTGAGCTTGAAAGTCACTTCAAGCTCTGTAGAGCTCAGGATGACTGCAGAGGCACATTTCTTTAAAGATGAGCAGGTATGTTACAAGTGCCCACGTTGTCCAGTGCTGACATTGACCTTTGATAAACTAGTTACAGGGTAATCCCCATATAACCAGGAACTTACAACAACCTTATATTTGGTTAAACAGCCTGAGTATAAAATAGCAGCTTTCTAATAAATTCAAAATAGAGCAGAAGTAAAGTGAACTCTTTTATAGTGAAGGGGAAGTTTGTATGACAGTGCTCATGCTCACACATAAATAGAGGGAAGAAATACTCTAAAATAATAATAATAATAAAAAACTGTATGTGAAAGGGCGAAATATATTTAAAAGCATAAGAATAAGTCCTAAACGCCGAGGAAACACCTGTTTACATGTAAAACAATAAAAACATAAAAAGAAATATGACACAACCTCGATGCTTCTGCTTAACTGGGCTCTTTCTGTGACACTTTCTGTCATGTTTTTGTATATTTTGTATATTTTTAGTTTTAGTAATTTGTGTTATGATTAGTTTTTTTGACTCCATTATCTATTATTACCATGTGTTATTTCAAATATCTCTGCAGTTTGCAGATGATCTCTCTTTTTCACGAGGCAGCCACAGCTCTTTATATATTCATACTTCCCGTCTAAATAAAAATGAGGATGGTTCATTTAGACTAAAGCATCAGAAAACAGACACAATTTGAAAATGTTTGTCCAAGCGTATTAAAATATTTAATTTTGTTACGGAGCTTCTTACTGTAAAAAGTCAATGATGTAAAAAAAAAAGTGTCAGGGCCAGGAGTTATTGTTGTTTTTAGGAGTACAACCATCTCCTTAAAATGTTAAATGATCATATTTAAGCCACATTTGTGTTATTTTGCTCTGATTTCTATGTGCTCAATTAAAAGTTTTAATGCAGATTCTGGTCACATCACTGGCTTTTGATTTGTCTTTCCAGCTGTGGAAAGGTGATGATAGGCTGTAAGATAAAGCTGGTGAATCCAGATGCGGATGGGAATGGAGAGATCTGTTTCTGGGGTCGTAATATCTTCATGGGCTACCTGAACATGCCAGACAAAACAGCAGAGGCTTTGGATGAGGATGGCTGGCTGCACACTGGAGACCTGGGAAGATACGATGAACAAGACTTTCTGTATATCACAGGAAGGATCAAGGGTAAGCTATAGCTCTGAATCTGGGAGAAAATGCACCAAAAGACACATTTAGGTTATAGTTGTGACACACTTATCACACTTCTATTGACTGCCACTGGCAACAAAACAGCTGAACCTGTTTCTAACCAAGTTCAGAAATGCTTTTCTATTTCCTAGTTCAAGCACTAAGAAGAGTCTAAGATATAACCCAGTGGGTAAACATGCCATGTCACAAAGCATAAATTCATACATTCAAACTGCTGTCCTGTTTCCAGCACCTTGCTCAGAGAGAAAAGTTCAGTTCTGAAGGCAAAAACCTACATAGCAAAATTGGTGTGGCCCAGATCTGGCCCACACTATGTGCTTACACATGGCCCACATACCGCGAAGAATGACGGCCCTTTGGTTTGCCAGAGGTGGCCCACACATGGGCCAGCACAAGGCCAGTTGTAGACATACTGTTGGTTCTGCGCTGGCCCAAGTGTGGATTACCTCTGGCAAACCAAATCTGGGTCACCATTCTTTGTGGTATGTGGGCCATGTGTAAGTTGTGTGCCGGAACATAATAGTGCAAATGTAACTTGACAAACCTCCGTTCAGACAGTGAATGGACTGATTCTTATTTCTATTCTACCAGATCACTCAAAGCACTCTATACAACATGGCCCAATCACACACTTTCTCTAAACTAAGTGCTTCCTAAGTACATTCATTCACACTCACACTTTTGACATGCAGACTGGAGGAGCCAAGGATCGAACCACTAACGTTCCGACCAGTAGGTGACCTGCTCTACAGCCACCTGGTGGCAAATATGAGTAAACCGTCACTAGGTTTTGGATAAAGTGTACACTCACAGACCTGTCAAACCTGCTTTTGAAACGTTGGCTACCATAGCAGTACAGTATTGCAACATGGCACGTGGATCTTCTAACTAAAATAGGAACATAGGAACATAAATAGTGCCATCATTGCCAGACCTAGCCCACCTCTAGTTGACATACACCCTGCCATGACACCAGTCAGTCAGAAATGCCAGCTTGATGCCAGACCTGTTTTCTATGAGCCTGAGCCACATAAACCAAACCACAATTGGGCCGGATGTGGCATGCTGTCAATAGAAAATTGTACTTAGTAGTCAGTATAATTTTTTAATAATATTTTTTAATAATATAAGTTTGCATATGGTAGAATACTGCATGTTGACCTTTTGATGACTTAGGCTGTTGTTCACTACAAGACTTTGTGTGCATTCCAGAGTGGTCTGGCATTCACACCCACATCCTAGGAGCATGGGAGAGGTCGTACCTTTTTTTTTTGTTTTATGGTAGGGTAAACGTAACTATGTCAGTTTTAGTCTAAGTGCCTTTTGTTTAGATGAACTGCTGGACTTCCAGACCAGCAGGTTTAGGGAAGTCTTTATGGGGTCACACTCTGACCCCACACACACTCACACACACACACACGTGTATAAAAGGGCCAGACCTGTCTGCTATGTGGGAATGGGTTTATCCAGTAGTAGCAAGGTGTGCCTAATAAAGCGACTGTGAGCGTATATAAAGTTGTCAAAGCTACCTTAGCTTTAACAGTAGTTGAAATATTACCCTAATAATACAACCTCAGAGGAGCTGACACAAACACGTCACAGATTTACCATCTGATTATTTGAGCACTACCAGCATTAAAATCTAACTCCTTTGGGGGAAAAATAGCACACACTTTAGAAGAACATCTTATGTTTTGAAAAGTGTACATTATACATTTGAAAAACAAACAAGCAAACACATAACTTACTTACACTTTGCGGACAAAACTACTGGGCCACCTACACATTAAGCCTACAGGAGCTGCTCGGCCACCACGAAGCTCCTGGCACACAGTTTTTGAGCTGATGTTAATGCCAGAGTAGGTTTAATACTCTGCAATTACTGAGTCAGCAGAGCTAGAGCTTCGGCAATGTGAACCTGGACATTTCATGGCTGAGTTCCTGTGATGCCTAGAGACTTACAGTTTGAATTAATACCACTTACAGCTGGTGTAAGATGATTGTCTTCTCTAGCTTTAATTCTTTCTTCTCTTTTTTACACCATTAACTGACATTTTACTCAAGGTAATCCCCATCTGTTTGTATAATAAATTAAAATAGTGATTTGGACATAATGATCAGCAGAATTCAAAGTATGCTTTTTCAGAATTTTTGTCTAATCACACTTTTTTGTGTAGTGAGTGCATAAAAGTCAAGTCAAGCGTGGAACTAACTACCTATTTTCACTGCTAGTTGTTTAAAACCCTACAACGCCAACTTAATAAGAGGTGACGCGTTTTTGTCTTTCCTGCACAGAGCTCATCATCACTGCGGGTGGCGAGAACATCCCTCCTGTCCCCATTGAAGATGCAGTGAAGTCTGAACTGCCCATCATCAGCAACGCCATGCTAATTGGAGACAAGCTCAAGTTCCTCTCCATGCTGCTCACACTTAAAGTAAATGATCCTCTCTTTTTGCATACAGGCATTGTTGCTGAATAAGCAAAAAAAAAAAAAAGAGTTACCACTTCTGTTTCTTTTTCTGCAGTGTGTCGTGGATGACAATGGCGAGCCCACAGATGAGCTGAATCAAGAGGCTTTGGAATTTTGCCGGCAGCACGGCGTAAAAGCAACCAAGGTGTCCGAGATTATAGCCAATAAGGAGCCAGCTATTTACAGTGCCATTCAGGCTGGCATTGAGCGTGTTAATGCCCGATCAACATCCAATGCCCAGAAAGTCCAGAAGTGGGTTATAGTGGAACAAGACTTCTCCGTCACCGGAGGAGAACTAGGTCAGCTATCTGAAATTTATTTTCCTTTTCCTACAAGTATAGTACATGTAGCACTGCCATTTAAAGGAAGTATTTGCTTCTGCCTTTTTTTTTTTTTAACTTACTGTTAATCATTTTTAACCAAGGTCAATGTTTTGTAACTGGAGTGACTGCCAAACAGTGTTTCCGTGGAGTCTTTTCAGCAGTGATTTAATCTCTTTAAGCTCAGCAGAATGCTAAACTTTATCATGAGATCAAAATAACCTATTTTTCTTTGTTGTCCTTCTAGGACCCACCATGAAACTGAGGAGGCCCATTGTTGTGAAAATGTATCAGGAGAAAATAAATGAAATGTATGCAGTGGCTGCAGGAAAACAATAGAGTGCATTGCACAGGGGTGAGAGGAGGTCATGGGATGTATGGACATACATACTTTTTTGTAAATAAAAGACATAAGTCAGAGTCAAAATTTTGCCAAACATATCACTCGAACATGCCACATATAGACTGAATGATGACACAGATACTGCTTGGTGTCTGTCAGTTTCTGAAGGAAATATCATGAATCATAAATCCCACTGTAGCTCAAAAGATATGTAAGATATGTATTATATACCTGAAGCAGCTGTGTGTATTTAATGATTTTTACAGCGTTAATTGCCAGTTTCCTAAAGGTAATCCCACCTGGCAAAGACTGGAGATTAAAGCCATTTTTATAATGTGAGATGAATATCAGTAGTTTGAATTTATCCAATCACACATGTGCAAATTGTAAACTTTACATTTGTGCTTCTCCATGTACAGTTTGACACAGTTTAATATTTATTTTGAGATATTCAGTTCAATTCAGTATTATTTATATAGCGCCAAATCACGACAAAAGTTGCCTCAAGGCGCTTTATATTGTACAGTAAATCGCACAATAATAGATACAGAGAAAAACCCAACAATCATATGACCCCCTATGAGCAAGCACTTTGGCGACAGTGGAGAAGGAAAAACTCCCTTTTAACAGGAAGAAAGCCTCAGGCAGAACCAGGCTCAGGGAGGGGCGGCCATCTGCTGCGACCGGTTGGGGTGAGAGAAGGAAGACAGGATAAAGACATGCTGTGGAAGAGAGACAGAGGTTAATAACAGATATGATTCAATGCAGAGAGGTCTATTAACACATAGTGAGTGAGAAAGGTGACTGGAAAGGAAAAACTCAATGCATCATGGGAATCCCCGGCAGCCTACGTCTATTGCAGCATAACTAAGGGAGGATTCAGGGTCACCTGGTCCAGCCCTAACTATATGCTTTAGCAAAAAGGAAAGTTTTAAGCCTAATCTTAAAAGTAGAGATAGTGTCTGTCTCCTGAATCCAAACTGGAAGCTGGTTCCACAGAAGAGGGGCCTGAAAACTGAAGGCTCTGCCTCCCATTCTACTTTTAAATACTCTAGGAACAACAAGTAGGCCTGCAGAGCGAGAGCGAAGTGCTCTAATAGGGTGATATGGTACTACAAGGTCATTAAGATAAGATGGGGCCTGATTATTTAAGACCTTGTATGTGAGGAGCAGGATTTTGAATTCAATTCTGGATTTAACAGGAAGCCAATGAAGGGAAGCCAAAACAGGAGAAATATGCTCTCTCTTTCTAGTCCCTGTCAGGACTCTTGCTGCAGCATTTTGGATCAGCTGAAGGCTTTTCAGTGAGTTTTTTGGACATCCTGATAATAATGAATTACAGTCGTCCAGCCTGGAAGTAATAAATGCATGAAAAAGTTTTTCAGCAGAGGGCTTTCTTATAAAGCAGCAAACTATTTCTCCAGGCTAAATGATGATCCTCTAAATTTGTGACACGCCATTTCCTCTCCAGCTTACGAGTCATCTGCTTTAGGCTACGTGTTTGAGAATTATACCACGGAGTCAGGTACTTCTGATTTGAGACCTTAGTTTTCACAGGAGCTACAGTATCCAGAGTCGTACGTAGTGAGGAGGTAAAATTATTAACAAGATAATCGACCTCTGTTGGGGTAGCGTTCAGATAGCTGCTCTGCTCTATGTTGGTACAGGGCATTGAAGATGATAACAGTGGGTGGATTATATTCTTAAACTTAGTTACAGCGCTTTCAGAAAGACATCTACTGTGATGAAGTCTACTCTCCACTGCTATGTAATCAATTATTGTAAATTTAAATGTTATCAGGAAATGATCAGACAGGAGAGGGTTTTCAGGAAACACTGTTAAATGTTCAGTTTCTATGCCATATGTTAAAACAAGGTCTAGAGTGTGATTAAAGTGGTGGGTGGGTTCTTTTATCATTCTATGATAGTCAATTAAAAATGACCAAACTGTAATTAAACTGTAATTAAAAAAATGTGTCTGTGTCCTATATTTAAAATGTATATGGCCTATTGTTTCACTAAAAGGTATGTATATGCATTATAAGGCTTCAGTGCCTGAAGTTCAAGGATACAGACCTTCAATTTCATTAGTAAAAGTCTTACTAAAGAGAAAAGAACTTCACTTTAACAGGAAGAGGCCTCCAGCAGAACCAGGCTCCACAGGTCCCTGCATCCTTCATCAGCCTGAGCCTGTAGCAGCATAACCTGGCTCAGGGTTACCCGATCCAGACCTGAATAAATGCAGAAATTATGATATCTTAAGGTCTTTAAGATATGATGGGACCTGATTATTTAAGACTTTATATGTGAGGAAAAGAGTTCAATTCAATTTTATTTACTTAGTGCCAAAGCACAACAATAGTTGCCTCAAGGCACTTACTATTGTATGGCAAAGACCTGAAATAATACAGAGAAATCCCAACAATGGGACAACCTCCCATGAGCAAGCACTTTGGCGACAGTGGAAAGGAAAAACTCCCTTTTAACAGGAAGAAAGCTCAGGCAGAACCAGGCTCAGGAAGGTGCGGCAGATCCAGTGATGAGAAGCCAGTATGGGAGAAATATCATTTCTTTCTCTTACCCCACCTGATGTGTTTTGGAGCAACTGAAGAGTCGGGGGAGCTGTGAAGCTGTCAGTTTAGCACTGAGCCAATAATGCAATAATGACTTGCTACATTTCTCAGCTCTTCAAAAAAAGAAAAACAAACAAAAAAACTTCTTGGACACAAATAAGGAAAAGCTTCCCAGGCTCCAGTTTAAGTCTTTAAGTGTGGGCAACCTCATTACCAAAAAGATCCAGCTAGATTAGGGATATTTAAATGGTAAATGGCCTGTATTTGTATAGCGCTTTTAAGTGCATGAGTAGCGAGACTGTGCACAATTGCAGGCAACAAAGCCAGAGGCAACACCTAAAGCATGGGAAAAACACAAGCTACATTTAGCTTGGCCTAATTTCAGGACTTGCATGGTAGATCACATGTCAACTGCACACAGAGGTGTCTTTAGGATAAACTGGAATAATATGCCTGCTTTTCCACTTTCCGACAAATCAGATTACATCCTTGGATAAACTTGTTTCAGATAAAGATGGCATTTTGGCCAGAGACAGTCTGTTCAACTGAGCAGAAAATTTACATCTTATCCTCCTGCATTGTTTGTCCACTCAACTTTTTTGTACTGGAATGTGGTTTCATGTTCACTACAGAAATAGGGTACGATAATATCAGATCGCCTACACATGATGCAGCATGCCTTACTCTGTCACGGAACAGAAAGCAGAATACAGGTTTGTTATCATGATCTCTAACACAATGTTCTGTGAAAGATGTTTTCCACTGTCTCTCTCTCTCTCTCTCACTTGTGAATGAACAGAGGTGCTCCAGCAGAGCTTGACTGATCCACGAAAAACAATTTTTATGTGACATGTTCACGAGTGTAAGGGTCAAGCTGCAGTTACCAAAATTAAACAAGTTTCTTTATCTTTAAACACGTGATAATTCTAATAAAAATTTGGAAATAAATAATCACTAAGCTGGCATGTAAGTGGACGAAAGCAGCAGAAAAGCAATGTATACAAACATTTTACTGCAGGAACCATCAGCTGTCATATTACTTTGGAAGAGGGGTGGGTGACCTCTAGGCCTCGAGGGCCTGTGTCCTGCAGGTTTTAGACATCACCTTGGGTCAACACACCTGAATAAAATGATTAGTTCATTACCAGGCCTCTGGAGAACTGAATCAGCAACACAGTCTCCAGTACTGATAACTGTTTTGTTTTTTATCTGCAAGAGGAGGGTTTTTACTCATGTGAATTTACATAGTTGAAGATGCTAAGATTCTTGCTTTTGTTGAGAGTGACCACAATGGACAAGATTAGAAATGAGTATATCAGAGAAACAGCTCAGGTTGAGTTGTTTGAAAAGAGATTGATGGTTAGAACCAATGACTGTGGAGTCAGTGATTAAGACATCTGGAGAGGAGGGATGGTGGATAGACTGGACAAAGGATGTTGAGGATGGAGCTGCCAGATGGGAGGAAAAGAGTAATACCACAGAGAAGGTTTACATCTCTTTACTTTTATTTTTTTACATTTTTTACATTGTAGTCAAACTGTGTTAATAATTACTTTTAATAGGTAAATGTGAAAATGAAAAACAAACCTTAACACGAACTTGACACTGGGAAGTTATATCATCATTCAAAAACAAACAAAAAAAATGAAGTGAGGCTTTTCTTTTTCTACTTCGGTAAGTAGAGTGGGTCCGGTCTGCATGTGAAAGTGTGCCTGGACAAGATACAGCAACCACCAGAGTGAGAAGGTGTGTCTGGATTCTGGACCAGGTGCTTAGCTATGAAAAGCATTTGAATGATTGCTTGTGACTGGGTTGGAAACTCTGGAATTCTTACCTTCCTTAAGGTTTCTGGTAACTTGCCCGTTTGCTTTTATGTAAGCAGGTAAAAAAAAAAAAAAAAAACCCACCTCATGTGAGTGGCCGAATATGAAACACTCTCTTACTCCTGCATACAGCTCACAGCCACATCCTCACTTAAAAAAAAAAAAGCAGTAGTGAAAACTTTCGCTGGAATCAACTTCTTCAAAAACACGACGCTGGGTGCGACTCTGCAACTAAAACTCATACAAGCAACAAATAATTTTCTCTGATAAGAATTCTCAACTCAGGATTTCATTTAACCTGATATTTCCTAAATTTGCTTCTTGTATTTGAACTTCTAGCACAAATATTCCTTCACCCTTTTCAAAACTGTTCATTTCACACAACTTGTACAGTACTTCTTTTTCTTTCTTTTTTTTAACACATGCAGAGCACTTGGTGATAACCTGTCATTACACTTTTTTTTTTTATGGACACGACCTGTAAGAGTCAAGTAACTTTGCTTTACTTAAAACTACTAGATGTGGCACAGCACTGCCATCATGTGTCTGACAGTGCAATATGCATGGGAAGGCACTCACAGTTAGTCACTGGTTTTCACACACACACACACACACACACACACACACACACACACACACACACACACACACACACACACTTTTTTTTTTTTAAAAAGTAAATAAAATAACATTGATCAGTTAGACAGTTATTTCTACTAGCAACTCTTTTTTCCTAATAGGCACTTCACCCCAGTTAGACCAGTTATTCCAGCTTCGGCGGAATCTCACCATGAAGATAGCTCTGGCTGTGTTTACAATGGATGCATTACCATGCTTGGAGGCTTAAAAAAAAACAATTTCAGATGGGTTGTTCTTACTAGATTTCAGGGGGACTTGCTATTTTATTAAAGCTAAGTTTAAGCCAAGCTGTAAACACAGTGCTGTTTGATTATAGGAGAAATCAATCACGATACTTTACCCACATAAACTATAAACATACTCCCATCTTATGAAGCAAAGCTTCATTAAGAGTTGTGCCTATAGATCGTTGCTTTATATGACTGAATAAAAGCACTAAATTTGTAAAACGCAAATACAAAACAATAGATTCAACTGCATTAAAAAACTGAGGACTACAACTTTAATTATTTAATGCACCAGACGCTGAATGCTTCACTGTAAATATTGCAAGATTAATATCCCCGAAAAATGTCTCCCTGCATGGATACAGCCAATATGTTGGAGCACAGAGCCTGGCTTCTTCTTTGTTATTTAGTAGTGATGGCGACTCCCTTCTTGACCCAGGCGTTGCTGTTGAGCAGAGAGAGCATGAAGCGAGCCACGTCTCCTCTTCCTACTGCGCTGCCTGGAGGTTGACCATTGTTGTCAGGCACAAAGTATCCCTCATGGGTTAGAAACTCTTGAGCTGTAAAGGACAAAAAGAATACAACAGCCAGATAGTAAAAAAACCTAACAGTTTGTCCAGTTACATGCTTGAACTCCATGATTTGCTGATCTCAGAGAAATTATACAAAGCAAAGTGAGACTATGCACTAAGGCAAAATAGATCCCACTAAGTCAGAAAGCTTCCACTGAATTAAGCTCCGCCATTCTCTGTTGACACCCCCTACCCATGATGCAATCTGTCTGCTTTTACCTGTGGCCGGAAGGTTCTTGAGGCCAGGTGGACGCACCACAGTCCAGTTGATGTCCTCCGTCTTCTGCAGAAGCTGCTCCATCTCATACATGTTGCTGAGGACACTTCGGATTAATGGCAGCAGGAGGAATCTGATCAGGTATGATGACTGAGTTCCAGAGTTTGCTGAAAAAAGTAAATCAAAAACAGTGAACAGCCTGAGCCACAAAAGCCAAATAACCTTCAAAGTCCAAGTTTTTGAAAGTGCCTCCATCTATCTGTTTTCTTAGTGACATATTCAGTTCAGGCTCATGACTCAACGTAGCCTATGTTCATAAATCAGCTAAAAAAAGAAGCTTTTAATCATTTGACTCAAAGCCAAACCTTGACCCCTGTCCTTCACATTTTGGGAAAGCAAGTTCAGAAATATCAGTTACATTAAAAAAACAAATCTAAAGGGCCACATCTGTGTGATGCACTTACGTTCTGTGTACCAGGAGGTCATGGTGATGATCCTGTTCACCTGGGTCTCTTGCATCGCACTGACCATAGCAGTCATGGACCGAGTGTAGCCTGTCACCCCGGTGAAGAAGGAGGCTGGGAAGCCGAGGCAGGACATGACAACATCCTGGTCTTTGAAATGAGTCTTCATACTGTCTGCCGAGAAAATATCAGCCGTCACCACCTGGAAAACAGTTACAAGACTGACTGTTAAAATGTGCATGATTACTTTTGTTGATTGCACGTAACAGAGCTTAAAACAGATAATTGCCTTGAGATTCTCATGAGTCACGGTGAGCTTCCCCGGGTTCCTGACGAGGGCTGTGACCACGTGGCCTTGCAGCAGGGCCTGGTTGACCAGATACTGTCCAGTCTGCCCAGTGGCTCCCACCACAGCGATCTTCATCCTCTAACGCTTGGAGCCAAGTCAAGACTGCAACTAAAGCAGAACACAACGTTGTGAACGCTCTGATCGCTCAAACTAACAGCACTGAAGTTCCCTCCCCCTTTCACAAACGTAATAAAACTACTTTTATCGTGCAATAAAAATGTCCTTTCAGAGAAATTTAGGTTTGTCATGTAACAGCTTGTCCTTGTGCATCACTAACCCCCCAAAAAATGAATGAATGAATTACTACAATTCTTGATCTCTTAAGAGCTAAAATGAATGTGCAGTAAAGACAATCTGGCACCTGAAGTCAGAGCAGAAGATTGTGAAATCACATCTCCAGCCTGGAAACATGGATGTGTGTGAGAAAGAAAAGAAAGCATAATTTTTTAAAAATTATTAAATCTGGTTGGATGAAAACGATGATATGATGATGAAGAGAGATGAAAACTTTCATTCTATCAGTCAAACAAAACTGCACATTGGTTCCCTTTGTTTTATCCAGACTGGGGTAAATGAATCATCTCCACTGCAGAGGATGATGATGAGGTTGTTGGTCAGATGCTCGCTCCAGAAACTAAGCCAATATTGTTGACTGAATTTCAACTGATGTTGTTTAGAAGATCATGACAAGCATCTCTGAGCTGATTCCTTGAAGCTATGTTAAATGAGCACTGTTTGCGGACAACACAGGCATTTTTGCAGTGAACCATCTGTCCTCAGATTGTTGGCAGTCCTTTCATTTGTGGGTAATGGTGACGTCAAACATCATGCCGCTGCCACTAAGAATTAGTTCTTTGGTTTTTAACATTAGAGACAATTACAAAACAGAACTGTACTCAAGAATTCAACTTTTATAACTGCACCTGAGGCTGAGGCTTAAAAGTGATTTCAGTTTTAAAGCCAAGTGGCATCCCAAAATGATGGAATAACTGGATTCTCTCAGAAATTAAGTAGAAGTATTTAAAAGAAAAAAGATTTAACTGGTGGCCACAACACAGAGCTTTAGGGGTTAGGTTACATCCCATGCTTATGTGTTGTTAGTGGTATGAGACATCTAGTGATCTAGCTTTAACTGTGTCCACATCAATTTTGCTGTAAGTAACACTCATACCAACACCAGTGCATCAACACCACAAAAACCTGGAGATGACAAATTTGTTCACAGAGCTTTAAATTTTAAAAAAAAAAAACACCAGCCATTTGGCTCTATTAATGGTCAGTACAAATGCAATCCAGTTTTGGTGTATTGCTTACCCTTTGTAGGAGTCGCAAGTCAAAAAAATCTTTATCGAGCATGCAGCAGCAAGATCCATGAGCGACTCCAAATGGAGAGTGCATTTTTTGCATGAAGCACACCTGCAGTAACTCTTATATTCTAATTATTACCATTACAATTATTAATTACCTCCAGTAGGACTGATCAGGATCACAGCCTCTCTGCAGTTGTGTAACTCTGCAGCTCAAACAGGCGACCCACCCATGCAGACTCTAATTTTACCATTTTCCCTCATTCAACAGTTTTATATCAGTAGTGACTGTTCTATATAAACATTCTTCAGTGACTTTAATATGTACACCACTCCAACTGCTTGTTAACACAGACATATGGCGCTGGATCGCCTGGCAGCCTTTAAAACAATTTCCCTTGGGATGAATAAAGTATTATCAATCAATCAATATATAAACAGCCAAACAATGGCTATAGAGAGAAAGAGAAACAGACAGGAAAGCCCAACAATAAAAAAAAAAAACAAAAAACAAAAACCTTTAAGGAAGCAGTAGGTGACAGTGGGAACGAAAAACTCCCTGTTAACAGGAAGAAACTTCCAGCAGAACAGGGCTCAGGTCATCTGCCATGACTGGTTGGGCTTAATGGACTGAACAGCCTGTAGAGTTTTGCCTGTGTGTGAGTCCTAAAGTCACTTTGTAATTTTTTCATAAACCACAACAGTTTCCCACTGCAGTAGCTGCAATGACGCTGTGGGGCACTGCCTCTCCTGCTAAACACCTTAACCCTATGCCGCTAAATTAACAAGTTCATTAATCAGCTCACATCTACAGTTTGCCTTTGTCCCGTCGCTCAGTAGTGAAGTGGATTATGAAATCATGCTACACGCCCAAAATTGAATAACAATCCTAAAAACAGCAGCTCCTACATTAAATTCTGATATGTTGACCTCCCTTAACAACAATACAGCGTTATAAAAAGCTTCCTTGTCTTCAAAGACACAAACAATTCAATTCAATTTTATTTATATAGCGCCAAATCACAACAAACGTCGCCTCAAGGCGCTTACAGAAACAGCGATCCAGGTGCTGAGAAAATGACACCTACACTACCAAAAACATCGGGACACGTGATTACTTTTATGATCTTTTATTCTTAAGCCCTTTTCAGTGGATTAACTTTTTAAGAGTCCACACGCTGTAAACTCTTTAATGTTTGACTCAACCATGCTGATAGCACCAAGGCAATATAACCTCTTACATAAAGCTAAAAAAAAAAAGTTGGAAACAGCCTACGCGGCTGTGACTTTCAGAAACATGTTGGGACTGCGGGGCTTTTGTATTCAATGTCTTTAAATGCCTATTAAACCGGAAACTGAGGGAATAACTGCCACCCTGAACCTTTATGATCTCTAATGTTACACAAACCAGTAGCTGCATTTCCGCTTTTTCTATGTCTTTGTTTTCTTCATTTATTCATTTAGAGGCAAAAAAAGAAGAAAAAGATTTAGCGCAAAACACCATGAGCCAAATTAACCCAAATTATTAGTCTGTTGTCATGCAGCATGCAGAAAAGGACGTTTAGCTCCTCACTCACCTGCGCCATTATGAAAGCGTCCCGTGAGGGAGGCGTTCAAGAGCGAAAGCGTTCAGCTGCGTTGTAATTGTTTATCCTCAACCCAGATTTAAATGTTTTGTTTTGACGTTATATAGAGGGAGATAACATGACCCCCTCAAAGCTAATGTCGAAGTTATAGTTAGAAAGTTAGTGTAAATATTTCCAATGACTACAAGTACAAATTTCGCAGTAAATACTTCTAAAATGTAACGTCTGCTTGGTTTTTTAAAACCCAAATCAAACATCTTCGACTTTAAGATATTTTCTTGTGAAAAACAAAAGCTATAAAGTCAGCAGAAATTTGAACCAGAAATGATTTTTGGAAAAACTAATTTATTCTTCGGTGCTCTATGCTGGTGCTATTTATTCTAGGTTAAATCTATGCGTTGGGTATGGATGGTGTATAAATTTAGCCTTTATGTTCTTGATGCATACTCAATCATCCAGGTAAGTAAAACGAAACGTTTCGTCACTCATCCAAGTGATGACGCTACGTCCAGATGAACAGAATCAACTTTTGGAGATATGTTTTGTCACCACTTCAAAGGTTTAAAAAAATTTAACATCCCACACACCAAAATTTTAGCGATCATAAAAAAAGGATCCGAGTTGAAGAAACTGTTGCGCTTGGGGGTTGAGTATTCAAGAAAATGGTCAGTGAAATCCAAAATAAAATCAAGTCAATGGTGAAGAATATTTGAATTTGTTTTTATCTACAGACATATTATCAGTAGGTGCTCACATGTAAACACAGACTTGGGCTCCTCTTGCCACCAATGTTTACCGCTGAAACCTTTCCATCTCCCTACATGAAGACCCATTTGGACCTATCAGGTCATTAGATCAGATAATCCACTTGTGGCTTTGTGCTTTGATTATGTGATCACACCAAGGGACTAAAGACTAAAGCAGCTTCAGCCACATTCCAGGAGAGCTGTATGGTCGGGGTTGCTTCATACATGAAGCTTCTGTACAATGACCGGTCTAACTGACATCTTGCTGCTATTCTGGTGAAGGATGCAACACAGCAAAGGGCTTTTTAAACACTCAAATGAACTGAAAGCTGACAGCCAAATAACCTGGGAAGTGGTGACTGGATAAAGAAGGTGACTGCGTAAGTAAGCAACGGATTTCAAGATGTAATAGTTGAGTAAGTCTGTATAGATGGATTTCTACAGCAGCTAACTAAAAAGCAGGTTCAAACTGGGGAAAAAGACGCTAAACATCACAGTTTTGGTTCTTTTCTTATGGTCATATATTACTAAATTTTGTATCCACGTTTGGCATAGAACAAGACTTTAATTTGTTCCTGAAATGTGATACAATATGAAATAATCAAACAAACCAAACCATTCAGAATTCAATGCTCATTGTTTTATTAGATTTTTTCCAAATTCTCAATGCTGATTTGTGCCAAATGGTTTCCAGCTGTGAAGGTATTTCTGCCTCCTTTTTTCCATAGATTGCTTTACATAACCCTTCGTAGAATTCAGACAAAACAGTCCTGTGTGGCAGGATTGAGGCCAACCAGCGGATAATGAGATTAAAAGGCCACAAAGTCGAACGAGTTCAGTGTCCTCCAGCTCTCTGCCTACTGCTACTGCTTCTGAGCCATGCTCAGCATTTCTCAGTGTCAATGAAGGGGTGCCTTAGAGTTAAAAAAGAAAAAGAAAGAAGCAGAGCTATTAAAAAACGTGCACGAAGCAGAGTAATGAACTTCTATCTCAGCCTGAGAACAATGTAGTGGCTTCAAAGTAGACTTGTAGTCAAGACCGCCTAATCCGAGACCAAGACAAGACCAAGACCAGATTAAATCGAGACCAAGACAAGACCAAGACCAGAGGGTATCGAGACCAAGACAAGACCAAGACCAGAGGGTATCGAGACCAAGACAAGACCAAGACCAAGACCAAGTTGAGACGAGACCAAGACCGAGACCGAGTCGAGACGAGACCAAGACCAAGACAAAAAAAGTCTTTAAACTGCAGCCAGATGCTATTCTATATACATATTCAGGACACCTTAAACTAGTTTTTTAATTAAGCAGCAAGGCAGAACAAAGTCGGGGCTGTATCAAGACACAGGGACTAAACCCCAATTCAACCAGACCCAAAACTGATCTGGAATTAAAACAGGACTACAACAGTAACCAAGACAGAACCAGAATCAGAACTAGATGATAGTAGCACTAAAAATCATCATAGACCTGCACTACACTTATTTTTTAATTCTACCAAAGTACAATATTTAGATTGAGAAAAGTTTATATAATTATTTAGCCTCGTTGTGCAAACAAGCCTGCATAACTTAATAAATATAGAATTTGAAAAGTAACAAATGGTATCTAAAAAGAAACACTAGGTACTAGATACATGTTCTGATGAGTTTTGGCAAACAACCATTTGACTAACATGTGTGTCTCACCTGCTCTTGTTCCATCTCTGTTCTGTCGTCATTCTCTCTCTCCCTCTCTGCTCCTCTCTCTCCCTCTTTGTGCTGACAATCAAGCCAAACACCAACATCATCAAATATACAGTTGAAACCAGATATTTATGTACTCTTCAGATAAAAACACAAACACTTTTTTAATTGTAACATCAAATCACATGGACTCTACTAACCTATCAGAAGCTTCTTTAGCTCAGAATGGAATCGTCTGGAGTTTTCTTATTAATTAACAATAAACTTAGTGTATATGTACTCCTAAATTTGATGAAAGTGATTAAAATAGACAGCTCCCTCTTTTTATTCTGACATTTAACTAATTCAAAAGATATTTCAACATTTATTTATCTAAAACAAAAGTTTACTCTAAATTGATGTTTAACAGTAAAAAAAAGTTTTTATGTTTTCTCCATAAAGTGTATGTAAATATCTGGTTTCAACTGTGAATATACTGCTGTGTATTGAAATTCCTCTTGTTTTGCATAGATATACTAAACAACATCCAAAGCATAATATATAAAATAACATCTACCTGAGTTTTTTCTTTGAAAGAAGCTCCTTATGTCCATTGTTGTGTTCATCAGTACACAACTGAAACCGATTTAGAGAGTTTGTTTAGCCGTGGAGGGTAACAACTGAAAATATGAAATGTAAGCTAAGACTAAAAAATCAGCATTGCTGTTCGGCTTTTTATTTATCCATTTGTTGATTCACTCGAAGAGCAAGTAACGCAACCAAGTGATCAGTTTGATATCAATCTTTTGTGATACACCGTCATATTTACATTATTAGTTCAGTACGAATGATTTGCTTTGGTACCTGGTCAAACTTAAGCTCTCCTCTGTCTGCAGCAAATTCGCAGGCAGCAGCTTCTCCCCCCTCGCTCACATGGGTGCTGCGCTCAGTCGCCTAGTGCCTGAGCTCGGATCATACCAAAATTAGGGGGAATTTACGACGGTGCGCTCTGTGCTTCGTGTGTTGTTTTTGGGCTTAAGCCCAGTAAGCCCCCCCCCCCACTCCGCTGATGGTTGACTCCAAATCTCCCGAACACTATGTCGATTTGAGAACGCAAGACCGAAACAGCGAGACCAAGACCGAGACCAAGACAAAAGTCCGTCGAGACCAAGACCGAGACCAAGACAAAAGTCCGTCGAGACCAAGACGAGACCAAGACCACGTAAAAGTCGAGACCAAGACCGGTCTCGAGACATCCAACTCTACTTCAAAGCCTAAAACTCTTTAGTACTTAAGCAGTCCAGTGTAAATATGTGCTCAAGTATTAAATCTAGCAGATGAATTACCCGAATGTACTCTGAATCCTTTTGCACTGATGAGATGATTGATTGGTCCTTTGAACAGGAACAGTCATGGGATGTGGCGTCACAAAGTCTAACCATCTCCACAAACACACCACATCCAGTGGAAGAGGTGATACGCATACACTGACATACATGGTCGATGACCAATCACGCTGATTGCAAAAGTTTTACTCTTTCCTGTTTTTCCTTATTCTGGCTCTTACGTGTTGTCTTTGTGTTTGTCCTTTGGTGTTTCTTTTTTCTCTGCTGCCTGCAGCTGTTACAAGTAAGCCACATCTGCTTGACCTTTTTTTGTCTTGTTGATGTTTCTGTTTGGCAGATGTTGGACATAAACTCAGACCTCTGGTATCTGGGTCAAGCATAGAGGTGGAAATATTTTTACTAAAAGTTGCAGATAGGATGTAGCTTTAATTGAAAAGTGGAGAAAGTAAACACCTGTATCTGTTTCTGATGATGGTTTTAAAGTCAACCATACAGATATAAAACTGCCACTATGCCTTTTTTTTTAATTTAACAGTAACTTTACTCTTAGATTACTTGTAGAAATTCATTGCTATGTGTTGGTTCAGGGAAGTTAGGAACAAGTTATCCAGCTAAACTGTTTGTTCCTCCAATCTGAATGGAAATAAAAGTGTTCCTGAAGTCCTTTAAGAGTATTTCAAGGTTAAAAAAAAAAAAAAAGGATCTGAGATAATTGGAAGAACAGGGTATCGGACACCTATAACTCCAGCTTTAACTCACATTTGGTTGGGTTTTGGTGCCAATACTTAGTTACAAATTAGGAAGAAAAATATTTGTTTCAGAGGAGAAAAAGATCCTAACTTGTGTTAAAATTAAACCTTTTTCAATGTTAAACTAATTCAGAAAGAGACATTTTCTGGGTATCTAATGCGCTGAATTCAGCCCCATCTAAAGGTGATGACACCACATCCACTATAGTACCACTATAGTATAAATACCCTTGTTTGGCCTCTTGGTTTATCCTCCAAGCACTATGTGAGAAGTCAGTTTAAAGCTTTCTCTTGTAACTTGAATGCACATCAGGAAATAAAAGTCTTAGAATTGGTAGTCAAGTCTAATAATACAAAAGTGTTTTGAAATTTTGCCTGCTTTGCTTTAAAAAGGTTTTAAAAACAGCAGATTTTTGTGTTGCAGCACCTCTTATACTGTGTGTGTCAATAGTAGCATGTGAAAAAAAA